TGTATGTAATTTTCTTTACCAATCAAGATCCTGCGATACAAATTTCCGTACCAAAGGGTAAATCTGTAAATGCCGATTTTTACAAAGGCAAGATCCTTCATTAATTATTTCAAAACCCGTCGATCAGCAACTGGTATCCGTGGTGTCACACAAAGCGGCCATTGTACGAGAATATCTGAAACAGGAAAAGGTTGTCGAGCTTCCTAAGCCTCCTTTTTTCCAGATCTTGCCCCTTATGACTTTTTCCTATTTCCGAGGCTCACAAACACCTTGCTGGAAGAAAATATTAAGCGTGAAAAAATCTCGGTTCGGCTAATTTCCAGTGTCTGAACAGTATATCTCGAAAAGATTTTGAAAATGCATTTAAAATTGGATTAAAGGACTAGAACTTTTTATATCACATGGTGGTGATTACTTTGAAGGGTTAGGATAATTATTTTAACACTGTGTGTTCAGCACTTCTTAAAATTGACCTAGTTGCATTCATTATTGAACACCGTCGTATTGTATTCGGCTCAGAAAAGATAGGTATTGTCGTATAGCATTCTATAACAAAATATCCGAGATTGTTTTGTCATATACGTGCCAATGTGGTCTGAGAATTTGAATTGTACTTATAAAGAACAAAAAAGTTTATTTTCACCTCTTAAAATGTATACAAAGTATAGAGAAACTATTAAAATGTGTTCTAAGGAGTTAAGAAAAACAGGACGAAACAATGGAAAACATATCTGAAACTAAGAAAGAATACATTGTTAACAACAAGACAAGGAGTTTTGGATGAGCCATATATCATATATACAGAGAGAGAAAAGGACGGTAATCAGCTCCAAAGAGAGTAATTTTATTACAGAATAAACCAGAGCACATGTATTAATACTAAACTGACATTTGAACACTCTTCAGTATTTAAAGGAAAACTTTTAATTTGATAAATAATTTCAATCCATATCTACCACAACCTGTATAAAATATCGTGAAGGTAACACAACATAATCGTTCAATTATGCTAGAAATGTTTTAGATAGACATGAATCTTTATGTTCCCACACTTTTTCACTCCATTTTAAATCTTTATTTGTTTGTACTATAAGCAACATTTTGTGTACTTCATCGTCTCCACCAGGATTATACTTGAAGTAAGAAAATCTGGTTTGACATGCAAGTGCGTTTTCTCTACATGACCATCATTTGTCTAGGTAAGTACAAATAATAAATTATGATCATTTTTACAATAAATGACACAAACTGATCGAGCGCTAAAAATTTACATCTGAAATTTTGAAGAAGCATTTTGTAAATATATTACGCAAGCTTGGTGTATCAATGAACATTGTTCAAAACAGACATATATATTCACAGACTAAGCAAAAAAACGGCGGGTAAAGTATTAACAGTTTAGTCTTAATTCACGACATTTGTTTCTGATTGAACATAACTATTATTTTACTACATTTGTAATTGATTTATGGTCTAAAAAGGGTCATTGCCCGAAAGTTGTACGTATTGTGTAATAAAATATTGTAATAAATTACAATATTACAATATAGTAATTAATACATAAATACTACAATTGTATGATAGCGTAGAATTTTTTTCTGCACCAAACATTCTGCATCTGTATTTATATATAATGTAACCTACACTGAATATAAATAAGTTAAATGATTTGAAGTGTATAATATCAATTTATACAATAAAACTGATAGTTTGATCAATCATTACACAAATTATTCCCATCTTTAAACAATTATTTTGTTTTATTTTTAAAAATCATGACTTAAAAAACAAATCAAAGAATTACAGGGTTAGTGAATGTGGAGGAAGGCAATTTGATTAAATAATATATAGCATCATAAAAAAAAATTTTTAAAGTTTGAATTTGAGATCTCTATACATATTTTTTTCAAACATAAAAATGTAACCAAGTACATGAAACACACATCCATTTGAAAATCAAAACCGTTTATCATCATCTTAAATATCACCATGGTTAAATTGTCTTCTACAAGTGACGTCAAATATATTTCCTATTTAAATGTCAACTAATTAGAATTCAGTGCATGCATGTATGAAAATAAAAGCATAATTTACATCAATCAAGATTTAAGTATGTATCGTTAAAAAACAAAATGGTTTATTGGTTTTGGGTTAAAGATCATATTTTGTGACATTTATTCCTCTGTGGACATATGCGGTATATTTTAGATGACTTGAAATAGAAAAAACAGCAACTCTTACTGTCTTCATAGAAATGAAAATTCCACAAGGTCAAAGAATGAATGGAAGAGTCCATATATCGCAGAGAAGAAGCATGACAAAATATTTGTTTTTATTATATACTTATTAATGAAATATTGAGAAATATTAATGAATTCAAATGCGTATTTTCATTTTCTGTATTTTCACTATAAAAATTTATTTTTTACTGCAGTGAAACATATTTTCCGTATTTTCACTGGTGTCTTGTCGGACTACTTTCTTTTAAATTCTGCCTGGACGCAAAGTTTAAGAGAAAGTCTTTAAAATTGTAATGTATAAAAAGAGACAAATGTATATGATAAACAGAAATGTTTTTTTCTCTATGAATACATGATCTATTTTCATCTTGTGGCTAACGCCACTAATGAAATATTTAATTTTCATACCACTCGATGAAAATTAATCATGTATTTATAGAAAGAAAAAACTAGAATATCCTCTATATATTTTTACGTTGACACAGCCACAAAGGATTGAAACAAAATATATAGAAGAACATACAAAGAGTGTGTCAACATGCCAAACGTCAATTTGTAATACTACCATAATTTGTATAAATGTGATCTATTACTGCATACAGGCAAAGATAATAAAATGTACGTCAATGTTTTTAATGTTTTGATGTCATTGATTTTTGTTGTTTTAAGGGGGTAGGGCATATCATGCGATATTCAAAATAGACAAAAAATCTAATGGTGTAAGGCAGCACATATTATTCGTTGGATCATCGCACTGTAATGAACTGTAATGATGAAGCAATGCTGAAACATGTGCTACATAGCAACCAGCCTATACAATCAATAAACCGAGCATATGATATACATGCATTGGCAAACTGCCAGTCAATTTCGACATATCATTGTGTTTGTAAGATCAAGTATTAAAGATTATTGTTCACATTGTGTGCATATTTACAATATACAGTAGTTTCCTTTGGACAATAACTACTAAATGAGAATGAGAATATAATTTTGTCATTGTGATTGTAAGATCAAATATATTATTAAAATTTATTGTTCACATAGTTTGTATATTCACAAAATAATGTAACTACCTTTGTACAATAACAGCTATAATCAAATGTGGTCAATCATCAAAAAATAGTGTTTGCAATAATCAGCATAGTGTTCTAAAATAATAATCACAAGAGACTCTAAGATATGCGGCTTAAATCAACGAAGAGATACATGGATATACTTCATGTGTGTCATTTATTCACCTAAAGAATTATGTCTATTATTTCCGCCAAATCACTCAAAGAAAACAAAGTAAAGGCATCAATTGACATGTTCATCACTCGAAAGAAAGAACAACTAAAGGGGCAAAAGCAAAGTATGATCATGAGATAGACCAATGATGCTTGTTAAATGATGATCAAAGCGACAAGAACATGACTGTGCAAAGAAAAAGAACCATAGAAGAAATAGTCATATAAACGACAAAATACAACAAAACTTCACTTTATTGCTTTCACAACATTCATTACAAAACGCCAAAGACGTAATAGTATAATTAACAAAGACCTTGTTTCCTTGATGGGTACATCTTATCAGTACTTGCTAATCTTCAGAAGAATTTAAAACCAAAACGACTTATTCTGGATGTTTTACACAAAACGCCGGTGCTAGTTGGCGTGGAGGGTATTGAAGATTTTTCCACATGATTTCTATAATTGTTTTATTGGCGTCTCCTTTCTTACATTTGTAAACTTTCAAGTTAATTAGTAAAGTAAAATTAAGTTAAGAAATATTATTGTAAACAAGACAGGAATCATAAACAATACCAACCTTACATATATCTCCCATATATGAGGAATTCAGTAAGTAAATGATGTAATTAAAACATATAATAATTCGAGTTCGTTCATTATTTCAATCTTTCAATAATTACTATAACCTTGTCTGATGGACAAACCGGCCAAAATTGCCAATCATTTTAGATGCCAATACAACATAGTATTTCCGGTGTCATGCTTTGAAAAGATTTGAACTGAAACAAAGTTATTTAAGATAAAGTTCACAATTACTTATTGCCTTTTGATACAATATTTTAAAATAAATTTCAATAGATTTAATGTAAATGGACCAACTTGCTTTTATCAAAAAGGAAAGGCGGTATTCAGTATATGCAACCCGACAAAAACCAACAACACGGGACCATCTGCAAGGAGCCCAAAAGGGCACCAAACAAAAACCGGAGAGGATGCAAAGGCGAATCATGTACGGATATGCGAATTTAGGGAAAGGTACTACTCGCCACTGACGAAAAACTAAGAAGAGACATAACAAGTGCCACAATAATTAGCATTTATCAATATAGATATGCAGCCATAGGACGGTCATCAGAAAATGCTTTACTACATAATCTAAGCCGATTGTGCACAAACTTTAAAACTTTGGCTTTGTTGTTTAGAGACTTGTTCGTCTACGCATATAGAAATAGTATTTTATAAATGAAAACTTTTTTTCATAATAAATATTGTTTTGTCATACATGGGTTTTACTATCTTAATTTTCAACAAATCCTTTCAGAAGGAAAACTAAAATTGATGATTTACTTAATTACAAATTCTAGATTATGTCATTCTAACAAGAAAGTTCAAGATACAAAACTCAACTTTGCTTTAATGTAATGTTGCTTTTAAAAAACATTACGAATATAACAAATGAATGTGCTTAATTCGAACAATTTGTCATAATTTATCATAACATGCAACCTTACTGAATCTATTTAATATTTTGACATTTTCTTTGGTTAAAAGATTTACGTTTGCCACATCTATTAATGTGTGTACATGACCATCTGAGCTGCTGTCACCTTTTACTTCCAACTGTAAGTTGATACAAATTTTGTTTATTTATTTATTTATTTATTTTCTTTTTTGAGGACACTTGTTCAAATATAAATGTGTTAAATGTTCACAAAAGTTATTAAATACCTTTGCAAGTTTCGAACATACATGTATATATCTAATTACTTTTATACAATCATATGCAAATGTACATGCATTTTATGTTGATTTCTTGGAATGATGTTTTCTTTGAATGGCATATCTTAAAATTCTAAATTTAGCATACCTTTTTTACAGGGGATATTTATGTTTTATAAACGTGATTAACATATGGTTTAATGGCAATTCAGATTATTTGCATTGTACTTTTATCATGTTTATTGTATAAAAGTGATTCAAACCACATAATAAAAAAGCCTAATATTCTTTGTTCAGTTTAGGTATGCACACATTTTTTTCAATGATGCTTTTTTTTAAAATGGTCATATGGTTAAGACTATTGATGTTTGAAAGATCCATTTAGCTCTAGAAAAAATTAAACATTATTTTGAAAATGACAATCATATCTTGTCAATCACCTCATAATGATGTTACTTCAGAACCTGAAAATTTATTTATTTTCATTCATTCCTGATTCTTCGGCTTTTACTTTTGTATCAGACTCAATGTAATGAAACTATTTGGAAACATATGTTAGAAAATTGATTGGAATGAAAGATTCCGTGAAAATAACATTTTTCCGATGTATTCTAAGTTTGGAGCTCTTTTTTGTATTAATATAGGCAACTCACAATGTGTAAATACTATTTTCGCGAGATGTTTTAGTTTGGGCTTTTTTATTTGCCTTTTCCGAAAGTAGTTCAGTTAGGTGATTTGTATTTTTTGGAAAGTATAGTGTTCAGATATGACAATGACAATGTTAATGACAATGTTTCAAAGTGAAGTAAAAGAATCAATTACAAGTATATTTGTAAATTATTATGTATGATTTTATTTCTTGGGAACTTGAAATTATTTTCACTGTTCAACTACAATCTTTAGTTATTGTATTTGTATTTTTGGTAATATTTCTTGCGGCTGATATATGTGTTTAATAGAAAAGAAATTGTGTATATCCATGGAAATATATGTATTTCTAAATTGTATTTCATAATCTATTTGGCCACATCGTTTTAAGCATTAATTGTAAAGGTTTTTTTTCTTTTTTTGAATTATATCAATATTTTCAAAATTTTCAATTTTTTGCAATTAGTTGAGTGAAATGCGACTTAAAATGGTATGAGTTTTGGCGGCATTTTTATGTCATGTAAAAGGTATTTACATTTCATTTTGTGTACACTTTCCTCAAAAAGTATGATTCTTACTATTATGTGGTATTTTTGTTATCATGAATAGTATTGTTTGCATTGTCACAATACTGTTACTTATCAGAAATGTCGGAAAATGATGCATTTGATTAAGAAATATCATTTTCATATTTATAAAGAGTATAAAGAATAGAAAATAAGGTATTTTCTAAATGAGTGATGCTTTCTTAGTATGAGAACGTTTCTTAGACAAACGTGTACTGGGGGGAAAAGAGGATCGTACAAATATCGTTAGTAAAACATTTTGATCACAATATGCCGCTTACTTTTATTTTAACTATTTAATATTAAAAGCCATTGCAAAAAAAATACAATGAATACTTGTAGGCAAGAAACATATTAACTTATAATTACATATTTTACTGTAAGATTTATCTTATTCATTTATATCATCGTCGGAAAATAAAAGTGGTTGAAACAATGATATTAAATGATCGAATGTTCAAACAAATAAATCAATGATTTTCAATCTTTATTTTTTATTGGGTTGCGGTGACATTGACAAATTTCGGGGATTTATCAAATAGGTTTTTACTATTTTCTTATTTCATTGTTGTTTTTTTCCCCATATATTCGTAGTCGCTACATCAAAGGAAAGTTATATATATTGATTGTATTGCAGGAAACTTAAAAACTGTCACAATTTGACATTTACTATCCAGAAGATACTAAGTAATGATCTTTGAAGATTTTTTGATTTTTCTCTCAATGATTGGGCGATTGTTTTCGGAAATCGCAATGAACGGTCGTGAACATGTGAGTCATAAATCACCTGTATCGAAAGTTTTGTCTGAAATATATCTTTAATGTTAAAACTTATTTCGTAGCCGTTGTATTTATAAAGAAAAAAGAAAACAAAGCAATGTTTATGAAAATAATTATTTATAGCATATAATGAACATGTTTTTAATTTGTTAACTTTAAGAAATGAAAGAAAAATAATATTTACTATTCTTTGATCAATATATATTGACTTTTCTTTAATCAATACATAAATATGTTGAAAATGCCAATAGACGGACATAAGTACAGCGAAAACATGTCTTTACAAGAACATCTGAAACTTCTGTTATTAATCATTTTTACATATTTTTGTTTTATCATTTACTTCTTCTTTTAAAGTTAGCAGACAAAGTTTGACACAAACCAATTTGTATACTTTTAAAAATAATAATATACTTTAAAATGTTGATAAGTAAGATTATTGCACAGCTATTTCACGATTTGTAATAGCAAAAGAAAATTACACATTTTTTTTTGCTTTTCATTTTCATTTGTATTTGCTTTTATATATGTAAGTTTTCGGCTTTTCTTCAGTCATTTTAATTTTCGTACAAATTTAATATTATGATTTATGAAAACTTGTTGAAACCCGCAAACAACGATTTTGAGTATATGAAAAATTGCAGGATCACCAATGGAGTAAGTTCAATGAAACACTTATTCATTTACGTCTTTTTTTCTTTCTTATTGCATACAAACCAACTTTTGTTATAATAATTCTGTACTTATCTATCATTCAAAGCCTTTAAAATATCTTTGCTTGTTTGTTTAGATAATGCAACACATTGGTTTCGCTACTTAATTTTAATGTTCGATGACTAACCCAATAAAATTTAATTGATTGATGAATGGACTATTCTCACTAAATTTTAAAGCCTGTAACATGTTATACAAGTATTGATAAGAACCATTTGATCACATGTGTGTGATATACATAGGTATTTCCCAGTTGTTAAGTAACACTGATATTTGCAATGGTTTTTATGTTCCACCGGCGCTGTTTATGTCATATGGCGACTGTCCATGTTTTGGTGCGTGGTCCTTAAATTTACGATTTGCATTGCGGGCGGTGAACAATATTATTCAAATCCCGTGCTTGTATTATTTCCTATACACCATTATTTGTTATTTGGTGGTAGGTATCATATTCATAGCCTTCAGTAGAGACTGTCAAAATTGAAAACCCCGGACTTGCCACAGTGGTTCTTTCGTGAATCACGACTAAATACATTGCAAAATTTGATGCAGTTTTCATTTTGTTATATGGTATAGATATATACAATTTATAGAACTTAACAACGTATTTATAAATTGATCATACAATTTTGATTTATTTCGTCCAAAGAATTTTATTCGCATGGGTTGCCAATTATTTCTACAGCATTTTCAGATATTAATTTCTTATTTACTCTTAATAACTTAAATAGTAAAGTGAATATTCTTTTCGGTAATTTATAATATTTAAGTGTATGAAGCTATATATCTGATACAAAAATTATTGTTTGGATTTTTAAAAATAACACTGCCAAAATGCTTGTATGAAATAATTATGGTAATTAATAGCCTTAAAGCGAGTGACACATGCACAAAATTATTGCTAAACGGATAAAACCCTACTTAAAATAGCAAAATGATATTTTGTTCCGGAACATTTTATTCTGTTAATGTACATTATTCATGTGTGGTAAATAACAGAGACATTTATGTTACAACTTTGTCGGGAATCAACCATACAATAATGGAACCAACATAATTTTACTGTTGATATATTTTTTAAAAAAGTATTTCATAAGATATAGTTTTATACCCTTTAAAATAAAAAATTTAAAACTGACAATTCTAAAATTGAATTTAGCCATCATAATAATTAAGTAAGAATTCATTAAAAGAACTAATAAAGAATCTTTCCCAATTGCTATTCTTTTTCAAAAGAATGACACCATTTCATCTTTTCTCCTCTTTTTTTTATTTCTGTTAATAATTGTAGAAATATTACGGGTTGTTTACAGTTTATTAAAACGTCATGCATATAAACTATTTTAATTTATAATATATTATTTTGTATTAAAATAAATAAACCAAGTAATCTTTAGCCGCCTGGATCCAATTTACTATCACTTGTTGTACAAACATGCTAAGAAAAATAGAAATAGAAAAGTAAAAATATCTTAGTGCTATGACCAAAGCCACAAAACCAAAATGTATACATGGAAATCACACATTCTGACTTATTGAGTATTTTTGTGAAATACAATTAAAATTAAAAGGCAACATCGTTCAAGTGCAGACAAAACACTTCTGCATTTTCAACACTAAAATATTGCAATACATTATCCCGACGGACCATTCGAAACACAGAACGAAATGGCGCCTATATAACAACCGGAAAAAAACTACAGCTAAGTGATATAATCATTACAACTTCTTTAATTCCACTTTTAAAATATTTCATTGTTGTTCAAATGTTTCAGCTACTTTTTTGTAACGTATTCGTCGCTATTTTTTCTAAAGCATATCGTTTTCATCCGAAAATTTGAAGAAAATAAAGAAAATGATATTCGGATGCTGAAGTATATGTAAACCAAAAAAAAAAATAACGTTGATTCATGAATATCATTAAATATTTGATAATGATAAAAATATTGCCTTGAGTTTTCTACACATCAGGCTCGAACAAGAAAGGTTTCAACAATGCCGATGAAGCAAGTGAGGCTTTTTTAAAGACACCATTGGTTTAAAATTCCCAGAATCTATAGATATTATCAGAAGAAGTTATATGTATATAAATAACTAATAGTGTTTTTAGTATTTTTAAAAGAAAAAATGACGGTCACAATCTTATTGTTGTGAAATTATGCTGAGCAAAATAATTTCAAATGTACTTGTTTATA